TAATCTCAAAGTTCATCAATATTGACCCCAAAATCCACCAGTACTAACCCAAACATTCTCAATATTAACCCCAAAATCCACTATATTAACCCCAAGCCCCACCAGTACTAACCTCAAAATTCATTAACTAAAAAATTAACCCAAAATTAACAAATATTAATCCCCAAAATCCACCAATACCAACCCAGCTTCTCCACCACACCTCAGGGCTAACAGCGGAAATGAGGATATTCCATTTTTCTCCATCCATGAATTTTCCAGCAGCTTTGTGCCCCAGCAGTGCTCACACCCCCAGCAAACCCCAATTAAATCCAAAATCCCCTCAAAGCTCTGTAATTAACACAGAGAGCTCAGGTCACTGAAGGCTTCTCCCTGTTTTTATTCCCTAATAACAATAATTCAGTTTATAAAGTACAGGTTTAATAATCCCAGAAGGGTTTGGGGTGGAGGGGAATTTAAAGTCCATCCCATTCCACCCCTGGTGGATTATTATTAAATAATATTATTATTTAAAATAATATATTTAATATTGGAAATGGCCGGGGACTCTTCCCATCATCCTCTAGACATTTCCAACATTAAAAATATTTAATTAATATCTTCTATCTGTCCATTTCTCACAGCCATGATTAAAGTTCTGCATCTTCAGGGCTGAAATATATTTGTTTTATGAGTTTATTTTTGTTCTAACTTTCTCTTGCTTAAGGAAATTCTTAATGATATTTTATTGCAGAATTCCTGAATTGGTAATAAGAACAATATTCTGGTTCAAATGTTAAAGACATGGAATAATAAGGCAATATTTCCATTAATTATGATAATTTTTAAAAAATAACATCCTAGCTTTTTCAGCCCCTCTCCCCAGTGCTAAAAACTCTGAATTTAACAGATCTAGACGAGGTTATCAGCAGGAAGTGGTGACAGAATTTACTTGAACTTGAAATCACCCAGAAACCACAAGAAACCATCAGCAAAACAAACTGACACCACCAAAGAAGGGAATTTTTTCTTTTCACCCCAGAATTTTTCAGTACATTATTATTATTATTATTATTATTATTATTATTATTATTATTATTATTATTATTATTATTATTATTATTATTATTATTATTATCATTATTATTTACAAGGTGAACATTAATATTGTTTATATATAAAGGCTTCTGTTGTTTATTGGTTAAGGGTGATGAGAAATTGGAATTATTTTGCTTGAATTCAGCATCACTGTGGAGATCTGGGGGCTCACACAGCTTTGAGGGTGTAGTAAAATATCACCATAAAAAAGCCAAAATTTCTTATCTAAACCCCATGATTTACAAAAATTGGAAGGTTTTTAAGGACACCAGTGTTTTCTAAGGAGAATTTCACTCACCTTTGTAAAAATAAAACATTGATTTAAAATAAAACATTGATTTAAAGGCTGCTTATTAAAGCTTTAAATCCCATTTTCACATATGATTCTGGGTTATTTTGGTTGCAAACTTTGCTGGGCTGAGCTTTAGGGAAACCTATTTTAAAAAAATCTGAATTTTGGCTCTACAGTAATTACAATTTAGCTTTAAACTGAACACTCACCAGGATTTTTAAGCTCTCTATTTGCAAACACTCATTTTTTGGAGCCTGAGCAGCACAAGTACTGTTTTTTCCCTGCTCAGTGGCTGATATCAGTTTAAATAATAATTATTATTTAAACCAGCAAAGCCCAACTGCTCCAGCATTGCTGCCTGGGGGAAACTTTGGTAAGGCAATTCTGAGAGGGGAGAAAACTGCAGAGCACCCACGGAGGAATTGCCTCAGGCCTGGGAATTAAATCTGTGTTTGCAGCTGATAAAATCTCCATTTCTTGGCATTCCTGATTTTATTTACAGGAATTGTAAATAAATAAGGGTTATTAAATAAATAAATATTTATTTATTTTATTTATTTATTTATTTTTTTTTTTAATAAATAATTATTTATTTATTAAATAAGGGTTATTAAATAAATCTTTATTTATCTTTGGAACCAAGATGCCTCCCCTGCTATTGCCTGTTTTTCTTTATTTAGGAAGGGCCTTTTTTTGTCTAAAATGGGAATATCTGCAATTTTTGATGCAGCAGCATCCTTTCAATGTTCCCATCATTAACAGAAGTAATTTTATTTCACTATTTTTGGTGCTTCAGTGCTTCATCCTGCCCCAAAATCACCAAGCCATGACAGTGCAGCTGTAACACAACCCCAGGGGCTGCTCCCTCATTTTCCTTTCTGCAGCAATAATCCCGATTTCACAATTGGGATTTCCATGGAAATCGGTTTCACCGTGCAGAAATGGATGGGGAAATCGCCTAACCTGGGGCTCCCTGGGCTGCACCCGCAGTGCGGGCTGCCGTGCCGAGGATGAGGATGATGATGATGATGATGATGAGGATGATGAGGATGAGGATGATGATGATGATGATGGATCCCTCTGGAAAGGCAGAGGAACCCGCGGGCTGTGGCGCCCTCCGGCGGCAGCACCGAGCAGGGACATCCCCGGTTATTGCCTGCCCTAATTCAGCCCTGCTGCACTGCGAGTTTCAGGGGGAAATCAATATTAAAAAAAAAATTATACATAAATTTTTTTTATCTTATATATAAATATATTATATATAAATATATATATAAATTTTTTATATATTTTATATATAAAATATGCATATACACATTGTATATATATGTGTATATATGTGTGTATATATATGTGTATATATATGTATATATATAGACATACATGTATACATATGTACATATACATATATATACACATATATACAAAACATATAAAAAATATATTAAAAATGTTATATATATTTTATATATATATAATATAAAATATATATTATACAAAATTTATATATATATAATTTTATCTTAAATATAAATATATAATATATATAATTTTAATATATATTTTATAAATAATATATATACATTTTATATATGTGTATATATACGTATATGTGTATATATACGTATATATGTGTATATATACGTATATATGTGTATATATGTGTATATATATAAAATATATAATATATAAATTTTTATACATATTATATAAAATATATAAAATTTATATATATTATATGTATATAAATTTTTATCTTATATATAAATATATAAATTTTATATATAATATATAATAAAAATATTTTATATAATTTTTATATAATATATATAATACATATAATATAGAAATTTTATATAACTGTTAGATATAAAATAAGTATAACATATATAAATATATTATATATTTTATATATAATATAAAAATTATATATATAAATTTTATATAATATATATTTTCTATAATATAGATAAAATATATATTCTATAGAAATTTTATATATAACTATTAGATATAAAATAAGTATAACATATATTATACAAATATACTTTTATATAAGTATAAAAATGTATAGTAAAATCTATACCAATGATAATATATTCTATGATATATAAAATTCATAGATAAAAATTATATAAAAGATATAGTATATAAAATTTATAGATAAAATTATATAATATATATTAATATATACATTTCTATATTATATAAGTAATATATAAGTAGATATATTATTTACTTATTATATTCTATTGTTTATTATATTTTCAATATATATTATGAATATATTCATATAGTATAACTATATTGATATAGTAAATATAATACTATAATTGTAATTATATATCATTATATATGTAATTGTATATCATATAATGTAATTATATATAATATAATAAGAGAAAATATTATATATATTTAATATATCTAATATTATAATAATATATAATGTATTTATATATAAAACTTAATATAATTATATATATACACATTTTCAATACATATTATTAGTATATTCATATACTATAACTATACTGATATAGTAAATATAATACTATATTTAATTGTAATTTTATATCATTATATATGTAATTATATATCATATAATGTAATTATATATAATATTATAATAAGAGAAAACGTAATTATATATATTTAATATATCTAATATTATTTTAATATATAATGTAATTATA